ATACTTCCAAATTTATGTGCAGATACATCTGACTATGTTATACTTCAAAGCAGTTAGGCAGAGCATGAAACAGATGCCAGAAGTGTTCGCTGACCCGAAGAGGAAGAGGACGGAAGGCGTGGAGGCTGTGGGCTTTGTGTTCGGGAGGTACATAGCGAAAGAGGTTGCTGAACTGGTCACTACGTACTTCAACTCCATAATAGAACTTTACACAAAGGCTCTTATTGGTTATTTAGAGAATTTGAGGTATGGAGCTTCTAGAGAAAAGTTTATTGGGAATGCTCTGAAGGGTTTCCTTGCGGATGGAGTTGGCATCCAGCGTCGATTGGCTGTTTACACATACAGAAGGTTTCGGTACGATGTCCACAAAGATATGGTGAAGGAAATAGAAGAACAACTGAGTAAAGACAAAGTCATTGAGATGTTTGTACACGCTGAGATTTACAGCTAGGTTTGTTAGTGAAGTCTGCACCGTTTTTTTTCTTCTCTTATAATATCTTCTAATTCGTTGCGGGAACCAAGACAGTTACTCATGTCCCTGGAACGCGCAGGACTTCAGTGTTCCGGTGTTTTCATGGTTGTATCTACTGGCTTACAGGAGTTGCAGCGGTTTTGGGGGGTGTGGCGAGTTAGTCCCATTATAAAAAAAACCAGCACCGATCATTGCAATATACCTAACTTCAATAATTAATTTTATCTGTTAGTCACAAGTAGATAAATATTAATCCGTGGAGTGTCGCGCGATCTACGCGAGGCAGAATGTGTTGTCTATCGAGTCTCATATATAGACAGACAAGAGGTTAATATCATCAATCTAAACCAACTTTACATATCCGCGGAAGGCATAACGGGTTGCCACGGCTCCGGCTCCAAGAGCTGGAGTAGGTACGGGTAGTTTTTAGTCAGTAAGAGCATTACACTCCATCTCGCCGAAACCTGGGCGGAAGAAGTCATTGGATGATCCCCCTTCAAAAAAGGCAACTTCACATTCCCGTCCAGCACAATGAACAATGCATTTGTTGTAAATTGATCAAATCAAGACTCATGTTATAAGTAGGTATGGTACTGTTTTACCAATTTAATTTTTAATAAGTATTCTAAAACTGTTAATATACTAATCTAATTTACACTTGTATCAAAGTGGGATATGGGGCGTATTGTCTTTACAAATACGAAGTTATATAAAACATTGTTATTATTATATTAATTTGCCATCATTGCGTAATCATGCACATTTGCTTGATATTAATGCACTAGATTAGCGTGATATTTCGATATTATTTACACTCCAAATGTACGTATAACATATATTAATTAAAGTACTTTTTAACTTATTTCAAGTAATTAATAAAAAAGGGAAAAATGAACCGAAAATCAAAATATTGTTTTCCGAGTCGATTTTGGCGCGAGAATTGTATTTTATAATATTTAAACCATGGGCGCGACAATTCCTTATGTAGCCAGATGTGAAAAATATACAGAAGAATACAAGCCACAATAAAGTTGCAAAAGAAAGATCTGGAAAAAAGAAATCTTTAGAAAATCTCTATTTTTACTAACCTATAATAAAATTGTATGTTTCACACAATTAAAACGAACTTGATGAAGCAAATTGATATTTTTTTTCCTTTGAAATTGAAATTTATAAATGGTGTAGAAATAGAAATGTAGAATAGAAAAGGAACGAGGTACTAAACCAATAGTCTTTGAGTGTAAAACCTAAAAAACAATCAGTATTTTTATATTTCTTTTGTATCAATTTCTGTAAATGTTACAAACAAACTGTTAATTGCAAAACGCACATAACTTTTGTATACGTTTTTATTTAAATAAAATATTTCAACACAATTTTCTTAATGTTTTATTAAAAGACAACTTACATCAAGCAGTTAAATTAATAACAAAATAATACAACGTAGCGGATTCATCGCCAATGTAGATACACGCCGGAGACATAGACAAGAGTAGTTTTATTCTAAGAACATTACGGCCATGGCACACTAGTAATGGAACGATTACTTGAAATAATGACTGGTGATACTCCTTTTTAAAGATATTACAAACTAAACGTTATATTTATTGATTAAATATCCAACTGAGTAAAATTACTATACAGCTCAGTTGAAATGTAATTGTTTCATTACTAGCTACACAATATCATAATTAGAGTAATTTAAAGGCCTTTTTAAATTCCCTGTGGACACTTTCCAAAGGACTTTATCGTCCTAAATAGTAGACATATTAACATAACATAACATCACGCCTTTTATCCCCGAAGGAGGAGGCAGAGATGCACATTATGCCACTATACAATGTAACACCCACTTTTCCCTATTTATGTTATGAGCCCCATGTAATAGGGGGTGAGCCTATTGCCATATACCGGACGCAATTCTAGACTCTTTGCTACTACTGCGATTTATTTAAAAACCCAGTAATACTTTGCCTGACCCGGGAATCGAATCCGAGACCCCTTGCCCAGCAGTCGCACGTGCTACCACTCGGCCAACAAGCCAGATAGAAATATTAGTTTTCAAATAATAAACAAGAAATAATACAAGATCATAGTTCAGTAGTTTTGAATATACGAAATGTTTGAAAAAATCAGTTCAGTTCATAATAATAAAGTGAAATACACTGAAAAATAAGCAGAAATAAATTAGGTGAATAAGTTAGAAATGGTTTTTATGATAAAAGCGATACCTCATAATAAAATTAGTACTAATAGACTTATTTTTAAAATCATCATTTTACACATTTGTGGCGAACCCTCTTATGTAGGGGAGGCTCATAATCAACTGAACTCAAGGCTTAGTACAAGTTTTACGTTTAACGGAATCGAAACGAGACGCGCTTTGATTGGTAAGTTCATTAGAGCCGGCCAATCAGAGTGACGAACGCGTAGGTACTCGTAAAACTCATATTAAACTCTTGTCTGTCGATATGTGAGACATCATAGAAAACACATTTCATCTCGCGTAGAGCTGTTTTCCGACAGACGAGAGGTTAAGCCCTCTGATTGGCTGGTCCAATAAACTAAAGAATCAGGGCGCCGAATGCGGTAATATTTCGATCCCGCTAAACGTAAAACAAACTCATTCTAAGCCTCTTGTCACAAGCAGTTCATGATTCGTCTATTATACAGCTTTATGAATTGCATATTTGTGTAAATACCTTTCATAATGTATACAGTTCAGTTGTAAAATATTATTGTTGTACATCGTATTGATTAATAAATAAACAAACAAACTAAATGACTGAAAAATGCACAGCCTGGAAAATTCGAAAAAGGACTTATTTCTTTGAGTATTAAAATGTACTACAAAAAAATTATAACCACAAAGTACACGAAATGCTGATTATAGTTTAAAGTTAAATAACGCAACGCCTTCTAGAATGAGGTTGAACATAATTTTGTTTTAAATCTTAAAGCATTTTTTTTTTAATAATACCATAATTCGACCAATTTGCCTCAATTCCCATAAATTATATTTCAACTCAAAAGTCTCAATATTCGTTTTAATATTTAATTAATATTACGCCTATAACGTAATACAATGGGTAGACAGAAAAACACGTAATTTTTCGCCAACTGTGTTTTTAATTACATTAAGCATAATTAGGTTTGAATCTAATTGTTATGTCAGATCCAGGTACTGAATCTGAGACTTGCACAACAATTATTTTTTTATGGGATAAGTCTGTAAACGAGCAGATGGATCACCTAATGGGAAGCAATCGGCGTCGGTCGCCCATGGACACCTGGAACACCAGAGGCGTTACAAGTGCGTTACCGACCTTTTGGGGATTAGCAGTTTGAGGATCTTTGGGTATTCAGGGATTGGAGAGATTGGGGGCTTTTGTAATTGGGCCTCCTCATTCACACATCAAAACAAAACGCAAGCGTTGCTTTACGTCGGTTTTCTGCTCGGCCGTGGTATCACTCCGGTCGAGCCGGCCCATTCGTACCGAAGCATGGCTCTCCCACACTTAAAAGTTTATTTAATGAATTATACTTTTACCAAAAGTAGTAATTACTAATATAGTTAATTTTAATGAGAAGTTTAACTTGAAAAATATTTAACTACGAACCGTTTCATAAATACAATAGGTACACAATAATATAAGACCAACGACACAAGATAATAGAAATCGAAAATTGAACTTTACAAAAACGATATAACGTTCAATTTTCGTTGACTTCGAATTATACTTTAGAACTTTTTAACAGTAAACATTATAGATAGACTTTTTATTAATAACATACCAACAAGCATAGGACTTCCCTAATGGGTAGGCAGAGGTGCAAATATTAAATGTAACAATCCTGAAATTTGGAGCGAAACTATTTCCTTGTTCTAGTTTCAGGATCCATAATATGTCCAAACCGGGAATTGAGCCTAAATCGACTAATGAAGCAGTTTTACGCAACGAGAGGTACAGTTTTTGCTCATTAGATGTTACTAATAATAGCGTGAGATCTTGTTTGTCCAATAAAGTAGATGACTCATTTTTATTTCAATGCCCGTCTGGTAGATTATTTAAAAACATTACACACGTATTTTTTCTAGTCTTACGGAAACGTACGAAAATGGTTTCGAAGATATATTGATTTGAAATATCGCATGACGCCACTTTTGAGTACGATTTATATTATAAAATGACGTAGTTACCTCCCACTCCTAAACTTTGATTCGTTTTATCTAAGTATTGTTTTCTTATACGACAAAATAAAAAAAAAAATGTCTAATATCATTTTATTACCTAACTGACGGACTAAATAGGTTTTTAATTCCATACCGAATCATCATCTCTATTCTATATTGAACCAACAAACCTGACACTATATAGCGCCATCTAGCGACAAAACAAGAAAAACATTTTTACTCATTTATAATTATCTTGTGTTGTTAGAGTTATAGGCGCACTATGTACATTGGCGACGCATGCGCAGGTGTACATACATACATACATACGTAACTACAATATACATATATAGACTATTTCTCTTTGTTAAGTGCTTCTATGAATTCTTCTAATCTCTCCTGCACCTGTCTCACTCTCTCTGGAAATAGAAAAAGGGAAAAATATTAGCTTGTTAGGATCATTATGACAGGATAAAATGGAGATTTAAAATGAGTCTCCCAAGACAAGCCTCAATATAATAATAATTATGGTACATAGTGTTATGTTTAAAATAACAAACACAAAGATAGTTAATGATGTTTAGTTCTCGCAAACTTCCTTTCTCGTCGCAACTTCCTCGCAAACTTCCTCGTCGAGTACCGTATTTATAGACACAATTAAAGAACAATAGTTGCGGTCACCGGTGACCGCTTGGTGTTTGACAGTTTAAATATCTATATGGTACGAAAATATGCAAACTTTTTAACCTCACGAAACACATTTTTATTTTTGTAAGGGAGAAAGTCATCGAATGTCTTCTCCCCCCTAGGTAAGGGAGGAGGGAGTGTTAGTTTCTTATTGTATAAAAACCACACCCTTCTTACTCCTGTACTTCAAGTCGAAACCCCGGTAACCAGTAACGACACACGTTAACTTACAGTCGTAAGATTCGCGGAGAACCTAACGGGTAACCGGGGCTCCGGTTCGAAGTGCAGGAGAAGGAACGGGGTGGTTTTTAGTCAGTAAGAGTCTGACACTAAAGGCGGGAGCAGTCATTCGATGATTTTCCCCCCTTAAAAAACCAGTCGTAAGATATAAAATAAAACAAATTGAAGAAGTGAACTCACTCAGTTCTTCTGCTAACTCTACTCTTCTACCGGATAGAAGTTTCTTTTTCAGTTCAGGATCTGCTGCCATCTGGAATGTAATAAAACATAATTAATTATACTGCTGAAGTTAGAACGATATTTACCATCTGGTACGCGCCTCATCAACAGCCTATGAGTGCCTACTGCTGACCAAAGATAACGATCAAATGCCCCCGCATTGCGTGCATTGGTGGCGAGTTCAAACTTATAATTAGTAATTATAAATCCAAGTTACCTCACGATATTTTCCTTCATCGTTTGTCAGTGGTGTCTAAATAATCTTAGAAACTACATATAACTCGGAAAAAGTCACATTGGTACTTGCCGTTGGCAGGTTTTGAGCCCGCGCCCTCATGCATGAGAGGCGGGCATCTTAAACCTTTGGGCGACTACGACATGCGTTGATGTGACGCGCCTCATAAAGCTGATTACATAATATAGTAGTACTAGTTTCTAGCCGCAGCTTTGCCCACATAAACTCTCTACATCTTACTTTGGGTTCGCGTAAAAGGGTCACAGCTTTCGCATTTATGATATTTGTCGAGAGAAAAAATGAGGACAGTAAGTAGAAATAAAGGCAGTGAATGTATATACCTCGTCGAGCACCTCCCTGAGTTCCCTGTCGAGCCGCGCGGCCTCCCTGTTCCCAATCTGCTGGCGCAGCGCGTTGGCCGTGGTGCGCAGGGTCTGCTGGACGCGCCAGAACATCACCACCTCGCAGCACTCCTTCTGGAATGGTCGACACAACATTGCTATATGGAGAAAGAATATAAGATAGTGGCGACACATATCATGTCACACGACAGCCCCCGTACATATACCATCGATGAAAAGCAAAGGAACGGATGATATTACAAAAATGGGGATGATGACAGGGTATGAAAATTAAAAATATAATTAGTCCGTAAGTTAGGTAATGAAAAAATATTAGACACGTATTTTTTTATTTTGCCGTATAATAAAACAATACTTAGATAAAACGAATCAAAGTTTAGGAGTGGGGGCTAAAACGTCATTTCTTAGTATAAAATGTACTGAGAAGTGACGTCACGCGACATTTCAAATCAATATATCTTCGAAACTATTCGTTTCTGTGAGAAAATAAAAAATACGTGTCTTATGTTTTTAAATAATCTATCAGACGGACATTAAAATAAAAATTAGTCGTCTACCCTATTACACCCAACGAACAACTGTCGGGTAGAAAGCCTGCCAGACACGAACACCTCGCCTGGTCGGAGGATCTTCCTTTTCCGATCTTAGGGAACTTTACTCTGTTCCCTAAAAGGCAATGAGTATAAAAGAAACTGTAAAAAGATTCCATTTCTTTTTGTCTTCATTTTGGGTTGACAAAAGATTAACACACTAAAATTTTTTTTTCGTCATGAATAGTTCGAAAGATTTATTTTAGTACATAATACGAAAATATCAATATAATCTAATAAATATATATATATATATAAACAATCAAATAAAGTTGAAATATTAGTAAGAAATAAGTTAGCATTTCAGAACACATTTTTATTTTCATCCAAATAATCTTAAACTATATCTTTATCAGGACTAAAGTAGTATAGTATCTTTACTGACCCCATTTCCATTCTGTTGACTATACAGGTAGAAACTCTTCCGACAGTCCCGAGCTCTCGTTTGTGCGCGCTGTAGGAAGTTTCTGGAAATATTACACAATACATAATGATTATTTTGTTACAGCCAAAATGATTCATTTAATATTATTCATAACTAGCTTTTACCCGCGGCTTCGCTCGCGTCACAAAATAATAAAAAGTAGCCTATGTGACATATACTAATACACACAGCGCCATCTATACGAATACTTTTGTTTTTCCTCGGGAATATCAATTTTTTCCGGGTTAAAAAGTACCCTATTATTTAATCCAGACTTCTAACTTTACATCTGCAAAAATTCAAAGCAATCGGTTGAGTAGTTACGGCGTGAAGGTGGAACAAACAAACAAACTCACTTTCAGATTTATAATATTAGTAAGGATGACTAGTTATTATACAAAATATCTACAGAATTTAGTCAAAGTGATAAATAAAGCAGAATTAGGGCTCGTACACAAAACTGCGATGCGACGTCGCATCGCAAGAACTCGTGAATTGATTAGCATCGCGCATCAAAATCTTATTTTCCCAAAATCTTTGTTTCTTTTTCCTGTATCTCCTATATAAGCAATAACAGAAGTGCACACTTCTTTTCACGATTCATGTCACGACCTAGTTTACAATTTAAAATATGTTTGACAGTCGTTAAAGGAATGGTCACCCAGGGAGACACATTGTCGCACGAAATCACATCACAGCAATTAGCATCGTAATTGTGAATTCTCATCGCATCGAATTGAAGTTTTGTGTACGAACCCTTAAGCACATTAACATTGAGCTATTATAAATAATGTCTCACGCAGACTTGGATAAAGTAATTAAAGAAACAGGTGTAAATGAGCAGGGCTGTTTTGCGTTACGGCGAGGCGGCTGAAAGGATTCTCAATGTAAGACGTTCTGCAATAGTAGCATTGTCGATGCGAGACGTTCTACATTAAGTCGTCATGGGTGTCGTATTGGTGGTTTTCGAGAGTGGTGAAATGAAAATGATGGTGTTGTCACTTTTGGAAATTGGAATTTACAGATTTGCGGATGAGATATTTGAAGATTTATAGATATTAGAGATTTGTAGATAGAGATTGATTGATCAGAATGTGTAAAAACAATAAAAAGTACATACTTCAAATAAACAGGTTTCCAAGTCTCTCTTATATAATCGTTATCGACTTCGATGCCCTTCCTCCTCAAGTTGTCCCTGACGGCGACGACTTCGTCGTATGCCAGTACTGGGCGTGCTACACCCAGCCTCTCCAGCTCCGCTCGTACTTCGTTGCGGCGGCTCTGCTCTTCTGATGTATACTGCCAGTATAACCAGCGGTCTTTTAGACCTGGACCTGAGTAGTGAGAAGGTTAAATTAGTTTAGGATTACTATTGTCTAATGAGTCAGTATAGTAATTATTTAGATTAGACACTTTTATTGGCTGTCGTAAACGTTTGGCAACGAATAATATAATGTTGTAATAAAAGATCTGACGAAATTCTAATGAAATCTTAAAAACATCGATTGAAGAACATTTTTTCTCTTTTAACTATTTAGAACTAGCTTTTACCCGCGGCTTCGCTCGCGTCACAAAAGGATAAAAAGTAGCATATGTGACATATACCAATACACACAGCGCCATCTATACCAATAATTTCGTTTTCCCTCGAGTATATCAAATTTTTCCGTGATAAAAAGTACCCTATTATTTAATCCAGACTTCTAACTTTACGTCTGCAAAAATTCAAAGCAATCGGTTTAGTAGTTACGGCGTGAAAGCGGAACAAACAAACAAACTCACTTTCCGATATTAGTAAAGATGTTGTAAGAAAAATAATTAAACACTGTTGAATGAATGAGCACTTGAGTTTTAGATTGATTGTTTGACAATTTTATATCCACGTTTTAAACCAAGTTGTCCACTTTTAACCCAATTTAATATTAATATTTGGGGCCCGTAATACAATAAGTGTCCGTACCAGTGAGTTCCTTCAGGTCGTGGTGCGTGAGGTCGAGCTTGTCCTTGACGGCGGAGTCCATGAGGGACACGGCGGCGTCCCAGTCGCCGCGGGACGACACGCAGCGGTCCTGGAGCGCGTTCAGTTGGAGCACTCGGAGCACCTACAGTAAACATAACACTGCTTTAGTCATTACTTACCTTTTAACCTAATGAGAAAGACCGAGGATTAGTTATTGTATAACATTTGTACTATTGACACAATAATTGATATAATGTCTTTTACATAACATCACGCCTTTTATCTCCGAAGGGATAGGCAGAGGTGCACACAGAAGTGACACCCACTTTTCACTATTTATGTTATGAGTACCCTGTAATAGGGGGTGAGCCTATTGCCATATACCGGACACAGTTCCAGACTCAGTGCTACTACTGAGATTTTTTTTAAAAAACCCAGTAATACTTTGTCTATATGTAATAAATATAATGTCTTTTATGCTTACTAAATGTAAAACTTTTCGCTAGAACACTCACTTTTCACACTAACAATAAATAAATTGTCACAAAATAGCAACTAACGTTAAGTACGAGTTCCGACTGTAATCAATTTAATATGCAAAGACACAATAGATTTTCTGTCTGTATACCTAATTTATTATGTAATTATTTTTATAACATATCTTTGCATGCCAAGTTAATGCAAAATATGAAGAAACTATAAAATTTGTTAACACCTATACCTATATATTATATACCCATGTTTGCAAATGATTAAACGAATATGAATAGTATATACCTGTAGTTAAGTGGTTAAGCATTCCAATATTTTACATAGCACATTAAGAAACTGGTAATATTAAAAAGCAAAGAACACAAAAAAAAAATGTGGCAGTGTCTTCCAAAATGCTCACATTTCTCTTGTACATATAACTTATGTAAGTATAAGTCGTGGTGGCACGCAGATTAAGATGCCCCGTTTCTCATGCAATTGAGTTCGAAACCTACCACCGACAAGTACCAATGTTTTTTTCTGAGCTACATGTCGCAGATACAAATGGATTTGAATCCACGTGTTTGAGATGTTCGTCCGCCATCTAATACTTTATTCAGTCAGTGCGTACCCTAAAATATAGATAACCTCCCCTTTTTCTTGAGGGGGGAAAATCATCTAATGACTTCTCCCGCCCGGGTGAGGCGAGAGGGAGTGTCAGACTCTTACTGACTAAACACCACCCCGTTCCTACTCCTGCACTTCGACCCGGAGCCCCGGCAACCCGTTAAGTCTTCCGCGGCTCCGAATCGGCATCAGCCCTGTTAGGCCCCATCTGTGGTGGTCTGATGGCTCCTTGAGAAAGAAAACCTCCCCTAGATCAACATTATAATCTTAATAAAATGATACTCACATCCTGTGCCCTGTCCTCCCACTGGTGCCTCCTGAGTGCCTCCTCGACGGCCTCCTTCTTGACAGGTTCATACACGGGGTCGGAGTCCTGCGCTCTATTCATTAGCTCCGTGAACTCCTCCCTGAGCGCCTCCCGCCCCGCCCTTATTGACGCGTTAGGTAACTCAGACTCCGCCCATTCGCGTAGTTTTATGTCCACGGCTGTGTTGAATTTGTCTAGAATAGAACATTAACTCGTCGAGTACCAGTTTTATAGACACAATTAAAGAACAATAGGTCGCGGTCACCGGTGACCGCTTGGTGTTTGACAGTTTAATTAATGTAAGCTTAAGTTTTGTTTTTAATGTTTGTAGTACTTTTGCTTCTCATATGAATCTATGGTAGGTTCTAATGAATAGACTGTATTGTATTAAACTGAAAAACTAAAATACTTTGGCAATTTCAATGTTGCACTTTGGAATTCATTGTTAATAGTCGTGCTTATTACTTATTAGGCATTTTAAAAGTAATTTTATTTTATGAAAGTTGCCTCACACTGTCATACAATGTAACATACACATGACACTGGAACAGAGTTTATCCGTGCGGGAATCGAACCCGTTGGGGCCGTTTTGCAGGGCGTTCGCGCGCCAACCATGCAGTCATAATAATGAAGAAATTAGTTAAAATGTTGATACAAAATAAAGATTATTTTTGTTATACCTACGCCATGAATCCATGATTCAATGTATGAAGTTCCAATCAAATTAGTCAAATTACTGTAACGTAAATATCAACAACTAACTTTAAAAAATATGAAAACAATTAATTTATGAGAAATGGCTCTATTTAAATCTATGTATTCGTAATGTATATGGCAACACATCGACTCAACATTATTTAACGATGGCAATACTATGACTGAGTATAATTATTGACAGTGGCAACACTATATAAAGGTAGTATCTCACTGGCGTCGTAATCGTATGGGTCCAGCCATATTGTTTGAGCACTTTGTCCTTCTGCATTGCAAACCTTTACTGGTCGAGGCACTGGTAATGTGGCTAGGGAGCAAATACTACGGTTTATGTTGATATTCTAAGTTGTAACATCATTGTAAAGAAAGGAAAGAATATGTGAAAGTGTTAAGCCTATGATGACCACAAAGAACAGGGGTTCCCCATTTTTTCCTGGTCAAGGACCACTTTTATCATTCTTGTTAGTTTAGGGACTACTATTACTATTACATTTTTCCATTCACACATAAAAATAGTGACTGTTGGATTATTGAAATCTGTTGCTCCTTCCTGTTGCCTCCTTTTATACAAGTTTATTCGAGGCTCATTCGACCATCGAGTATCAATTATTGGACAGAGTACCCTTGTGTATATTTTTTATATTCCCCGGACAAATTTTTGTCGACCAATAGTTGGAAACTACTGACATAGAAGAATAGGTCTATGATAAAAATCAACAGACATTTTAACACTGATAGAAATTCATGAAATATAACTGTTGGCTGGTAATCCGTTGTGATCGGAGTATTCTATACTTTCGAATTTTAGGGCACATAGCGCTCTTTTTTAGAAACTACTTAGAACATTAATTTTAGAGTCTTACTGCGACTTGAAACTAGTAGTTTTTCTCAGTATCTTACAAGAGTAAAGCGGTATTTTTAATTAATCTAGTAAGTCTCATGATAGTTATTATATAAACATTAATTGGAATTTCAAGCTGTATTTTTCAATCTAACCTATACTTATACGAATCAAAATCTGGAGTGTTCAGACAAAACCATATGTTTACGACCTTTTTTCGTGTTTAAACTGTAAAAATACATACCAACATCCCCCATAGCGTTAGCAGCGGCGGGCAGATATATATTGGCGAAGACTCTCTCTGCGGCGGCGCTCCATAATGCCTTGGTGAGTCGCGCCTCCCAGGCGGGCGGCGGCACGGCCGACAGCTCGGCCGACTGGTCCAGCAGCTCGGCGCGCGCGCGCTCGAACAACTCGTCGCGGTCCAACTCGCGCTGTCTGGGTTACCAACAACATATTCCAATCTATCAATATCGGAAGGCAAAGCTGGATAACCACGTAAGCGTATTAGTAAATACTAAGGCTATGTATAAACAAGAACGTTAAGATTTTTAAATCCGCTTAAAAGAACTAAATCCTCAAAAAAAAAACATCAGAATCGGTTCAGCTAATCGCGCACAAACATATGTATCTATGTATGTATGTATGCCAATCTGAGACCCTCCTTTTTTTGAAATCAGTTAAAAACCAGATTTCAAACCCCTCTTTTTTAAGCCTACATGAATAGCAGGTTAATATACTAAAACCTTCTGAAACTGCATCAAAATCAATTCAACCAATCACGAGATAATTGCGCACAAACATACACACATCAACTTGAGAACCTCCTTCATTTTGAAGTCGGTTAAACAATACCCAACATACCTGGGGAAAGTGTTCTTCCACTCAGTCTCGAGGTTGAACCTCATAGCCTTGAATGCGTCGGCCTGTTGCTCGACGGAGGCGCGGACCATGCGCCAGAAGCAGTCCGCCACCGCCAGCGACAGGTTGCGGGTCGTCACCTGCGACGCAGTCACCAGCCCGTCTCTGGGACGAGGGCAATCGTTTAATAAGACTTTATCAACCATCTTTTAAATAATACCCCTTATAATTAACCTTAGTCAAATTTTAAATAACCCCTACGACCCTGCAGCTGAAGCCAAATGCCACTTAGCGCTTGTCTACATGTAGAATAGAAAACCAAATTATACGGGATTGACGTAAATTTTGACACTTGTCAGTGTCATCCCCATACATTTTGATTTGTACACTCTCTGTGGACAAGCGCCAAAGTGGCGTTTGGCTAAAGGTTCTGGTCCGAAAGTGGCTAGTTTTTGACATTCAACATTTTCGGTTTTGGTGAAAAAAATCCGATCGAACTAGACCAGAGACCTCAGGGCTAATTTTGTAGGAAATTAATTGTATTATCACCTCCCGAGAGGAATACGTCGAGTTACAAGTCACCCTGTATAGCTAAACTCACGTACAGATAACTGATACAATTTTTTTTTTATATACTTTATAGGTCGACGTTTGGCCACCATCTCGCCTGGTGGTAAGCGATGATGTGGCCGACGATGGCGCACGCGTACCTATGAGCAACCTGTTCACTCGGGACTTGAAGACACCCAAGTCATATTTGACGGGAAACACAGCCTCTGGCAAGGAATTCCATTCCTTAGCGGTTCGCATGAGGAAGCTTGACGCGAAACGCTTCGTTCGAATACTAATTAGATTGTAATTACATAGAATAATATTTGCGACTCACTTGAACAGCTTGGAGGACCGGAAGAACCTCTCCTCGTACTCGCGTATGCTCTGTATGGAGTCGTCCTTGCGAGAGCGGCCGGTGACCACGGCGTAGTAGCCCAGCGCCTTCATTGGGAACAACTTGCCTTCCAGGATGCGACGGATCTGGTAGGGGAGGAGATTTTAGAGAATACAATTTATTTATTTATTTATTTGCGGCCGATTTTAATCACCATACTCTGAATCGATCTTCATTTTTGACGAAACTATCAAATTAGTGTGAAAAATTGATTTTAATGCGGAAGTTTTCGAATGAGATCCGTAATTAAAATCGGTTATTACTCTGGCGACATGTTAAGATCTGAATTTTGTTGGGAACTATTCGGAGAAAGAAGCTGGTTTGTAAAAAACCGTGACATGACAGTACTGTGTATTTCTGCAGTACATTCGATTTTTATTTTATTTATATTATTTATGTACACACATACAACACATATATAAAAACGAGGTACACAGATCATTTAGATGTAGATGACACAGTGTTACTATTCCAAATATATGTATGTTATTATTCTTATTATTCAGACATAAAAAAATAATATGTACTAGGATATCCTTGGTTTATTAAGAAAATTTTATAATTTGGAATTCATACATTTCATTCTTGCGGGTACATAATTTTGTGACTCTAATTATTACTTACTCTATTTGGATTAGCGAGGTTTTCCTCAGCGAGGTCGACCTTAGTGAGTACAAAGATGGTTCTTTTCCCGGACGGATCACAGGACGATACCAAGTCCGTCACGTTACTGCGCTCCGCGTCCACTGAGCCATCCTGTAAAATGTAAGAAGTAATAAATTAGTTTGGATTATTAAGCGTTATAATAAGTATGGGAGATCCATATTTTGGCACGAATGGGTCGGCTCGATCGGAGTATATCAAGCGACGCCGATTGCTTACCATCAGGTGATCGGTCTGCTCGTTTACCGGCCTATCCCATAAAAAAAACCCTGTGACCATATCGACTGACAGTTCAGGAAATAATTCGTTAATAGCACAATTTGACAAGAAATGATTAAAACGGTATTTTTTAGACTTTCTGGGCAATGAGGTACTCCAAATTGTTCTGGTCGAAAAATATGGTAATGGAAATTGGGAAAGAGGAGTCTTTCCGAATTTGCATCACAATGGTATTTTAAACACTAAGAACGCTACGTTTTACATACCAAAAATATTTCTACGTACATTTTCCAAGATTGAGATTTTAAGCGAAATATTGTTTTACCATCATTGAATTAGTCTTTAATCATATTATTAAAATCTACTACTGCATTACTAGAATAGGGATGATGACAGGGTATGAAAATTAAAAATCTAATTAGTCCGTCAGTTAGATAATCAAAAAATATTAGACACGTATTTTTTATTTTGTCGTATAAGAAAATAATATTTAGATAAATCGAATCAAAGTTTAGGAGTGGGAGTTAGCTACGTTATTTTAGAGTATAAATCGTACTCAAAAGTGACGTCATGCGACATTTCAAATCAATATATCTTCGAAACTATTCGTTTCCGTAAGAAAATAAAAAATACGTGTCTAATGATTTTTAAACAATCTACCAGATGGACATCTAGCCTATTGATTTTTGCTCTAAGAAACCATTATATTTTTAAAAAAAATAATAAAATTACTAACCTGTATGCACAATATGATAGCGTTGGGATTGTCCATGTACTGTTTGGTCATCTGCTTGATGGCGTCGCGCGTGTCTGATGCCATGTCCACTGTTTGAGTCTAGAAGGAGAAATTATTATTATTAGTAAAACGGTTTTTTAGAATTTTAGTTTTGATAGGGTGGCGCCACTGGCGAGTTTAGTCTTGTATAGGAGTTATTTGAGTTCATAACGTCATAGACGACATTATAAATAAATTGATATGAGAACGAATTCATTCATTCAGCTTCACTAGTGAAAAGGTCACAGTCAAAAAAAAAACAAGGGATCTTGGGATCGATTCCTGGTTTAACTAATTTTGACTAAAAGAGGGTATTAAATTAACAGATTATCTGCAACCAGAAATGTTTTCTTTAGGCACCTTATGTGTTTTATTATTATTTTAATAAATAATAATAGCAGTAAAATTGTATACTAACAGATATGACTCCAGGCAGGTCCACGAGTACCATCCGATGCAGGCCGGGGCCCTTCACGGACATAGAGATGACGTCGGTGGACACGGTGCGCCCGCCGCGGACACTGTTGCGCATGCGCATCTCTACCTCTCTGCGGAGATACACGTGGTTTGAGGTTTAAAATCTCTACTACCAAAGAGTACAACAAATGATTTATTTACAACCAAGTAAAAGATTGTCATATTCTGAAGTTTTGAAGAATTACGCCGGACTACTCTATTAAAAATATAGATGTCTGAATTAGATGGTTGAGGAATCGTCATAATAACTATATCATGACGATTCCTCGACCATCTGGCCATCATAGCCACTGGGCCAGCGAACCAACCTATTCCCATTAATCAATTTTCAAATTGGATTTTCGACTGTATACCAAAATAATAAAGTTAAAAATATGATGATGGAAAGGAATAGTCTGATTTACTATCCACTAAATTTTTTTGCCTGTTTGACAGAAAAAGTAAAGACTATCAATAAAGAACATTATCACTCACTTACCAATGTGACTTTTTCCGAGTTATATGTACTTTCTAAGATTATTTAGACACCACTGACAAACGGTGAAGGAAAAACATCGTGAGGAAACCTGGACTTATAATATCTAATTATAAGTTTGAAATCGCCAACCCGCATTGAGCAAGCGTGGTGATTAATGCTCTAACCTTCTCCGTGTGAGAAGAGGCTTTGCTCAGCAGTGGGCATTTATAGGCTGTTGATGATAACTCACTTCCTTAAATCAGCTAAATCTGATTCCTTGTTGAGATCAAACTCTCGCGCCGAGTCTCTAAACTGCGCCACGTGGTACGGACCTTCTGACAGAGTCACCTTCACTGGAGCTCTGTAACGAGACGCAAACTGGGTTAAATGGGCAGTCATATCGCATTCTGTCTCTTGCCGACACCTTATCAGTGGACTGGAATTGTCAACACTGCTTGATGCTTTAGAATGCTCCGGTCCTTTCACATAACATGGTATACTTACGTTTTTATGGCATAAGCCGGTAAACAAATAGACGTATCACCTGATGGTAAGCAATCGACGTCGACCATGAACACCTGGAGGTGTTACAAGTGCGTGCGCCTTTTGGGAATTAGGAATTTGAGGATTGTTGGCGGAGATTCGGGAAATAGGGGAGGGGTAGAAGGACCTCCGGAACCTCACTCTCGACAAAACACAAAGCAAGCGTTGTTTCACGTCGGTTATCTGTGAGGCCGTGGTATCACTCCGGTCGAGTCGGCTCATTTGTGCCAAAGCATGGCTCTCCCACTTATTTAGAGTCAGTCAGTTATTTAGTATGCAGGCAAGAACATAAAGATTGATCGAGTTCAGACACAGTACCTATTGTTAAATTAAAAGGTCCTTTATAACCATTGGTGGGCACAGTAGTCAACTAATGGTTACAGTTACCGTTTCTATTCTAAACTAGATTCTGCCCGCGACTTCGTACGCGCAATTCCGTTTTCTCCCGTTCCCGTAGGATGGTCATAAGAACCTTCTTCTGACAATAACAAAAAAAACAAAAAAAAAAAAAAAAAAATACAGCCAAATCGGTCTAGCCGTTCTCAAGTTATGACGTGACATCGGGAAACGGGTTTCATTTTTATATATATAGATCAAACCAAACAATTTGATTGACTGTACACATATTGTAGTTGGACGCATTACATACATATTTGACAGACAAATTGAACCTTTATTTAAAAGAGATTTGGTGACCTTTGAGATCTCAAATCCTAGTGCTTGTCTGCCCAGCCTACACATTATTTTCTACGCTTGGCACATATAACCGAAACCGTTGAGTTGAGGAAACCCATAGACGATAGTTCCTGCGAAGTGGGATAGACGCAGTGGACTGTCACGTCACATGATCAAATAAATGTCAAGGTCTAATTACCTAGTACACATTTCCCCAGCTCCTCGAGGAAATATCCTGGCCTGTGCGATCATCTCCAGCACGGAAGTCTTCCCAGCAGACTGGTCCCCGACCACTACCACTCGAGGCAGTCTGTCGGTCTCCCCGGCCTCCCAGCCTGACAACTCGTCCAGTACCGCTGAGTACATGTCTATTAGGGAACGCTGGAATTGAAGATAACTGTTGTACTATAGGTTTTTAGCTATTAGGGAAAAAGTTCATAACTGTTGGGTTAAATAAAGGCATCACCCGCGACGGAAATCACAGTTTCGCAACTGGTTCTCAAAACGGAGGTCTTAAATCGAAACGACACCACGTTCGGCGCTCTGATTGGCCGGTTCTAATGAACCAGCCAATCACAGCGCCAAACGCGGTCTCGTTTCGATACTTTAAACGTAAAATAAACTAAGGCCTCGGGTCCTTTTATACTCGAGATGCAATTTATTTTAAATAAAAAGCTTGCACAATACTAGGATTTCCACTTGTGTCGTGGTGCGTTTACAAACATACAAGTTCACATACACATGACACTCAGATCCGGAACCACAATTTGTGTATCACACGAAAAGTTGCACCGTGCCGGAATTGAACCTGCGACACGTTGCACGGCAGCGAATTGCCCAGCCACCGCGCGAACCGTGCAGTGCAATTGGAACTCATAATTAATTATTTTCCAAATCTTGCTTATAACAAGGTAGACCTGTGATAAACCACCAGCCTAATCTGGGAGTCATATGGGATATACTATATTCACAATAGTGGATATTTTATGGCTGACATAATGCTAAAGAGGTTAAGGTATGCAAAACGTTACCTTGATCTTCCTCGGCGCAGGCTGCCTCCCCTGCCTAAGCAACATGTTCTGCTGCCTAAGTTCCCTGTTCTCCTGTTCCAGCCGCTGCAGTTCCCGCTGATACCTGGCTTGTAAGGCCAGGACTTCTTCTTGGAGTACGTGGACACGTTTCTCTGAAGTTTAGGAAAATACAAGGATGATCTAATTTGAGTCTTACAGTATAAGACATAAGGTAAATATTGAAATAGCAAACTATGTGTTTGTCCCACGCACGTAATCAAAAACTAGAGACCGCTTACTGATCCTTATACTTCTTTAGCTTCCGTTACATTCATGCACCTGGTTGTATCAGTAAGTTAAGAGTACGTATTGATACAACAAACAGCAAAATTACTGAGACCTACAAACGACCTTTAAACGTAACTGTCCAACTTGTTACTCGACTAGTTACAGGCTACATAGAGGGCCCATAACCAGTTACGAGAGTATACTGAAGAATCTAAATATTTAATATTTCTCAAGAAAAGAAACAAAAACATTAGACTATTAGAAATCGTAAATGCTTACCGTAAGCAGTAGCGTCATCGCCACCAGACTTAACGGAGGATGACGGTGCGGGTCGACTCTGTAAGTTGTTCACGATCTTCTGTGGTTCTTCTGTGGAATAAAAGATAAACTTTCATTAACTAAACAGATAGTTCGAAAACTCTGTGAAGAAGAAAAAAGGACAATGGCTGTAAGAAGGTTATAAGAACGGCTTAAAAGTCAATGTTATAACATTTTATTAATAAGATACATTAGTTAAGTAAAAATGTCATTAATACGCCACAGTATTCACATGCAACGAAAATTAAAATTAAAGTTTTAGTGAGTTTAATGTTTATGCAAAACAATGACTTTAATAAACATGTGCATGCACTAAAATCACAATAACTGAAGTAAATTAATCAATAAAATCACACACAAAGCCAAACTGAACCATGAATACACCACAAAGAAAGTTGACATTAGCATAACACAATAGAAGAATTAATAAAAAGCACAGAAAACTGAACCACAAGCACAGTAAAAATAGAGGCTATAATAGCACAACATACCGAGACCGGCAGCGTTATTGGCTGCGGCGGCGGCGACGGCGTCTTCATAGCGTTGCTGCAGCCAATCACGGAGCTCGTGCGCCCGCGCTAGCCCCGCCTCCCGCAGCCGCGGATCTATGTGCACCGACAGCGTCAGTGGGACACCTAGCGATAGCCAACCCTGTACTGCCGTCACTGCACTACGCCGCTCTACTGGCATTATGCCGGGTATTGTACTACTTTATTTATGGTTAAGTGTGGGAGAGCCATGGTTCGGCACGAATGGGCCGGCTCGACCGGAGAAATACCACGGCCGAGCAGAAACCGACGTGAAACAACGCTTGCGTTGTGTTTCGTCATGTAAGTGAGATTACCGGAGGCCCAATTTCTCCGCCTCACCAGTCTCACCAATCCCCGAATCCTATACAATCCTCAAATTCCCAATTCCCAAAAGGCCTTGGTGTTTCAGGTGTCCATGGGTGGCGGCGATTGCTTACCATCAGGTGATCCATCTGTTAGTTTACCGGATTATGTCATAAAAAATTGTTTAAAGGGATATAAAATAAGAGCAAAAGAGCTGAAGAATCACCTAATGGTAAGCTACCAGCGCCGTTCACGAATGTCGACAAGAGCGTAGACTGTTAAAAAGGATATAGATAGGCTCTTTATTTGAATAGGATGTCTCATATTGTCGACGCTTTATGATAGGCAGACTTTTATAAATTGGTTATGACCAACTTGAACTGCTGTCACATCAGTGCCACTCATAACACATAGAGTATCTAGTTTTAATTGACTATTCACTTTGTTTTGATAGTAAAGAATATGTGTAATGTAAGGTATAAACAAAAAGTTTAAAAATCTATGCTATATGGCAACATTATGACAGGCGAAATGGCTATATTGTACCCAGATTTCTTGAAATTACCTACACTTTACATAATAAACATTACACTAGGTGGAAAGATGAACCAACTCAATCTCAATAAGCCATTAATGTGTTGGTATTTAGATTTGACTCCTAAGAGGTAGAATTTTAATAATATTTTTTGAGCCTTATGTCAAAATGTTTATGTCAATCAGAGGCCTTAGTACGAGTATGATTTACGTTTAAAGTATTCGAAACGAGTACGCGTTCAGCACTCTGATTGGCCGATGCAAATGAACCAACCAATCAGAGCGTTGAACGCGTACTCGTTACGATACGATTACTTTAAGCGTAAAACAAATTTGTACTAAGACCTCAGAACGCCGAACGCATAAGCCCCCTGTAATGTCATTATCAAATACTAAATAATACCTCGGAACTAAGGTCTTATCTATTTCCTATCAATATAAATAACTACCAATGAAATGGGCTAATTACTAACCTTACAAATAACAGAAATGACAATAACAATGCTTTCATTTACAGGCTAACAAATGCATACTAAAGAATAATGTACTATGTAAGTAATATCTACATAGTAATACAATAATTCTGCACCTTAGAAGCGTAAGAGCAATTTAAAAATTTAGCACCTAATCCCTAATGTCATTAAAGTGCAAAATTAAGTTAAACTTTAAATAACTGTTTTAGCCTTTAAATAAAAGCGTGTTTTGTATGCACATAAGTGCTAATATAGGCTTGTGTATTACATTGTACACACATAAACAACACTCAGTGTGTGAAAACATATTGCCAGGACTATAGAACTATTTGTACTTGTATTACAAACTTTTTGATGTGTGTCCGATGTGAAAAACAACATATCACCTCCATTACCTACATCATAAAGTTTATATTGCTATAACTCACCAATCTGTAGGTTGTCTCCGATCTTAGACTTGGCATTGATGAGTGTGGTGGTGAATTGATCCCATTGCTCATTGTCCGGAAGCAGTTCATTCAACCAGCCCATGTCGGGTAGGCCATCCTTCCATTCTGCATATTTCTGGAATTGTAGTTTATAACCATGTTTAATGAATTTACAATACTTTATTCGTAATCTCACATGCAAGAATTTTGGACAATTCCATCAGTTTAATCAATACTTAATATCTATATCATTATATTGCAGATGTGATATGCAGTTTTAATCAAAATGAGAATTTTCCGATAAGCCAAGGGATTTTTCCAGTGTGGATATCAATATTAGGTAACAATTGAATATTGGTCAACTTAATTAACTTGGTTAACAAATAGCTTTGACTTTTAATTTGTTTTTTGTTGATGTTCAACAAAAGTCCCTTGTGTCTAATTGGTATAAATGATTTTGACTTTAATTTGATATAGATTGTGGATATTGATCCATTTTTCTTTGGTACATTTAGAAAAACATGGTATGTTTAGGCTAGTATTTTATAGTTATATACATAAAAGAAGCCTTATATTTCGCAATTTCTTCTTTAAATCAACAAACCCAAAAAAAATAAATTAAATAAGACTATTTCATTTATAGTTATAGGTAACATAATAGGTTCAAACCCTAAACTTCATCTTTTACGTAAAAGTATGTCTGTCCGTCTGTACAAATATGTGACAAAAACCACTTTACCAACCTTATTCAATGTCATACCACCACCCAAAGCGCCTCCAAGGACTAGATACCGTATCTTCAACATGCCCCTGACAGCTCGTGCGACCAGCATCCCATATTTCCTCCGTTGCACATGACTTGTGTCTATAGGCTTGTGGAGAAGTACACTGCGGCCTGTCCATATTGAAAATGCAACTGCTCGTTTGTCTACAATAGTCCATTGTGTTGATTTTTTAAATGCTGACCTGAGGAGCGGAAATAATTACAGTTATTATTTGATAATTACTTAATTTAAGGCAATTATGTTTCTTTTATTAGTCATTGAGGAAAGTCTATGTTCAGAGATCTTAGTACAAGTTTGTTTTACGTTTAAAGTAGTCGAAAAGAGTATGTGTTTGGCGCTCTGGTTGGCCGGCTCCAATGAACGAACCAATCAGAGCACCCAATGCGGTCTTGTTTCAATTACTCTAAAAATAAACTCATTCTAACGCCTTTGTACTGAATGTCCTGTGTGGTTGAAATGCCCAAGAGACATACTTGTATTGTTTCACTTTTAAAGTGTGATGTTGAAATTTTGAATTGAATCAATTGCTCAGTAAACTGTGCAAGTTTTGTAGATAGCATACAAAAATATACTGCTTTCATTATTTAGTGACTACACTAAAATTCTGCTACTAGTATTGGTATTGTTAGATTACAAAATTTTAAGAAACATTGTAAAAGATAGTGACTGGAGAATATTACAAGTTTCTTTTCTAATAAGAACTCACAGGATTCTTGAAACCTACTTTTAATTTCGAACTTGAAACACTAAGGAATCTGCGTGTTCTGCGTAAATCAATATACTTAGCTTGGCAGGTAGGTTTTAGGTCAGCAGGTTTCAAGGTCGACTCTCATAACATATTACAAAACACCGAAACGTTTGATAACACGGTGAATACAGGGTAAAGAGAAGCCGGCATACATTTCTAAACCCTTAGGAAGTCCGTAAAATGCCAACCACAAAGGGATAAGTACTAGGACGATATGCATTACGAAGTCATAGGTCAGAAATGTAATTAATACAACCACTCACCTCATACGATTGTGTAGTATTCTCGACATGTTTACGTAATACTTCAACTTTATTTAATATTTCATAACCCTTCAATAGGCTTTCGGAAAAATAAATTAAAAAGATGTTCTCATTTCATAACCTCCACCGGTCCAATGAAAAAATATATTCACGTAATAACAAATCAGATATTTTGGTGTATAAGGTGTTTTATTATCTAGTAAATATGAAACAATCAACGTGTAAATAACTATAAATTACTTCATATTTTGAATATTGACAAATTACACATTTCAAAGGACATTTTCTACTTCATTTTTGATCTACGTTTTGTTTATACGTTTTGACAACAGATTCTGCAGCGAAATAAATCTTTATGTTCTGTTTTACATTAACTCAACTTCCGCACTACTATATTTCACCCAAGTTTTATGAAACTTTATAACTATTTCAAATTGTTATTTTTTGATTAAAGTATTTTGATATTAATAGAAATATTTTTGGACAATTTAAAATATCGTTTAGTTTTCTTAAAGGCAAAATGTCGCAGAATGATATCTTATTGGAAACGTCAAAATTACGTCATTTTATGTCAAATGGCGACTTGTTTTGCCAACTGGACAAAATCCTGTCACTTGTAAAAATAATGCAATTTTCTTATTGTTTACATCTGTTATTTCCAATTATTTCCATTTCAGTACTTTAGTGTGATATGTGACGTTAACCATACACGTTAAAAATGTCGTGGCTAAACTTAAACCACAGTTTAAACAGTCTAAAAGGCCAGATTACAAATTTTGCATCTGAAGTGTTATCTGAGAGTCCTGCTCAGGATGTAGCTAATAAAAGTTTACAAGGAGACTCTTCTGCCACAGAACTAGAGGAAAAATGTCGAAACCAGGAGCTTGAGGTGAGTCTAGTATACTTAACACCTATTTAAATATTCCAATTGACAGCTGACTTTAAGGTTATGTTTTTATATTTTTTTATTGTTATACTGAGACAAGTAATGATACAACATGTAATCATCCTCTCTAATTCATTCGAGGTTGCATCACTGTGCAAAAAGTATTAACGCAATGTTGGAATTGGGGCCAGGATTACATAAACAAACTTATTCTAATTGTTATTTTGATATTTTATCTCTTTCTGGCTTAGGGCAAAGCATATGATTGCTATTTACATTACTGAAACAATCTTATTAGGATTCTTAAAAGGAGGTATTATTCCACAAACACATCTTTAACTATAACTGTAATGTTTTCTAGAAAATGTAACATAGACTAGAATTGATAATGATAACAAATGAATGCAAATTATATTTGTAAACCAAACAGTAGCTGGTTGTAACATCATATTTGTTTCGCAACATCTTCAACCTGAATATTTTATTAAATAGTTACTGGTTTATTAGTATTCATGTAGTAGCTGGTCAGTAGTATCAAGTATGGCCTTGTTGATAGGCTAATACTTTATCACACATTAAATTAGAGTTCGTACAAATTACTTATGTGTTATGTTTGTTAAATAACTGCTACAGTGTATAAACCTGTTGATTTGTAATTAGGTTTTTAAGTTATTTGTAATTTATTCAGCACTCATAGATCAATTACTTTGGATTACTATAAACATTTTGGCATTTAGGTATATGTTGGATTCCATTGCGGTTATTAAAACAAAAGAAGTGCTATAAGTATAACCATGATATTACTTTGTCTAAAATCATTGTCATGTTCATTGTTACTTTTGATGTGGAATCATATACATTTAAAATCTTATAAGAATATAAGTAAAAAGTATTTAAGTACTTTCATTCCACAAAAGAGTAAGCAGAGAATTTTTAAAAAGAACTTTGCACCACACTAGTTTATTTCCCTGTGGTCATTTGGTGCGTTTAAAAACATACAATTTTACATACTAGACAGTGACACTCGGATACAAAGACATGTGCACCTGGAGCAAAGCTCAAATCAAACATGAGGCATGTTTTGCATCAGCTAGACACTAAGCTAATGCGTCAAATATGGGGCAAATGCTGTACCTGTTGAAAAAAGCTTGATAAAATAAAAGATGACTCAGTAATTGATCCTGCTCACGCTGCAACCATAGTATAAAGAACACAGTAGGTTATCTTCATACAAATGCTCCGCGCGCGGCTTATATGTGTGCGCCATAGTATCTATGCGTCGACGCACGCACACTTTAACAAAATCTCGACCCGTTTCTCAGTGCGCCAGGCAGGGCTAACACTGCACGAGGTTCGCGCGCGCATCACTTTTCGGCACTGAATAAATAAATAAAAAATGTCTGATAACCGTAGAAGAACGTATTGTTGTGTGTTTGGGTGTCTTAATAATTAATCGATTCCAGAACTGTCTCTGTTCAGATTACCTATTGAACAGGAAAGGTAAGCTAGTCACTTTTTCTAGCATAATATAATTTGTAGGTACTTGATGATGAGATACCTACTTACTTATTCTTACTCTTATCATTCTTCATAGTTCCTACTCAACCAGAAATGTAATTACCTACTATACTTAAATATTATAAGAAAATGTGGTATTGTATTGTTTATTTCACAGTTTATCTGATTTGTTAAGAGCGTGGCCGTGTCGCATTTTTCCATATAAATGTATTCCCAAATTTACTTTCTGAATACTATGTATAGAGCTAAAGTTTATTTTAAGAAGTTAATAATCTTTTTATAATATTTTTATTTTTACTAAATTTATAAATTGATAAAATATTCAATCATAATATGCTTTTCATTTCATAAATTTAGATCAAGTGCTGCTTGTTCGAAAATATTAACTAAAAGTAAAAGTGACAACCCTGGGGATCAACGCAAGAGTAGGCTAATAACTCGGCGGGCGGCCTTAGATAACCTACTGTGTTGTTTATACTATGCTGCAACGCAGACACACCTAATGGCATTTAATAAAAAGTAGATTTAAAGTTAATTAACTCGTCGAGTACCGGTTTTATAGACACAATTAAAGAACAATAGGTCGCGGTCACCGGTGACCACTTGGTGTTTGACAGTTTAAACACTTGTACGGAACATGAAACTTGTTGTTCTAGTTGGATAAAGTAATGTTGGTACTTTGTTTTATGAAAGTGTCGTAGGGCGGTGTCTCTCGGGGTGCGGTGCCAGAAGACCTCCCCGTGGTGCACCCTGGGTGCGGGCGACAGTCTCCCTAGCGGGGGTGATAGGGTTGGAGTGACTGTCGCCCGCAGCAGACTTCTGGACTGGGCGGGCGAACCCAATAGGGTTCTGGAGGCGGCGGGCTGTGTGCGGAGGCTCATAGCCCGCGCTTCCGAGGGGCGCTTCTCCGCCCGTCTCTCTGGACATAGCAGAGAGCGTGGCGGAGAGGCAATGGCGGTGCTCGTTGTGCACTCACCCTGCCAGCGAGCAGCATCGGGACACAAGCTGTCCCCGATTGCAGCCGTCGATATCGTAATCCGTAAGGAGGTCACGGTCATGTTTTGTGACTCTGAACGGGACGAGGGTCTTGGCTTGGTCGCCCGGACCGCGAGGAAGATAACCTCTATAAAAAATTCCTCCAATACTAAGTTCTGGTGCGCGGCGAGAGTATGCATGGCTGAGGAGTAGTGTCAGTCGCGAGCGCACCCCCAGCTAGGGGACCAGTGGAACCTCTAGTTGGGAAACAAATGAACACTTACCCAGGTACAGGGGGCACTGCCTGGGTGGACCGAATATTTCCCCCATACTCGTGGGAACTTTATGGAGTTGAACAAATAAAAAAAACCACACAACCGGAGGAGGAGAGTGCGGGTGAGCTTGGCTCGCCTGCAGTAGCAGGAGAAGGGAGCCCAAGTGGCTCCGGGACTCGTGGTGAGGCGCTGGACTCGTCCAGCAGGCCCCACACACGGGAGTCCATCGGAGGGGGTCGGACTCAGAGTCCGACACAACATTAGCGGAGCGGCTGAGCGTGAGCTCGAAAGGCTCACGCCGCCGCGCGACGGGGACGTTCAAACGCCCCGGCTGGAGGAGGACAGTTTGTCCCCGTCCTCCGGCGCTCGGGAGGCGCCTCCCCCCAAGGTCCCCACGGCAGCGCGGGGTAGGGGCGGCAAGGGCAGCGGTCGCCGGAAACCGGCACCAGCTGCCTGCGCGGAGTCAGCCGAGCAACTGGCTGCGGAGGGCAGGGCTCTTTCGAGCACTGCCCGTTCGGAGTCCTCTGCGGCCGAGATGTCCGGCGTGGAGATGTCGGAGGGCGAGCGCGGCTCTGAGAGCGAGAGCTGCTCCGGGGGCCTCGAACAGGCCATTACGGCGGAGCTCTACAAGCTGGCGATGGGGAAATCCCAGCCGGTTAGGCTCCGCCTCCTCAAGGGCGGCGGCGGCCACCATTACGGAGGCGGCCTTGGAGCAACGCGCGGTGCCCACTGCGGGAAACGTGCGCTCTGAGCTGGCCGAGATGCGGCGAGAGCTGGCGCGCTTGGCGGCCTCTAACGCGGCTCTGGAGGCCGAGCTGCGGACGGCCAGGGCCGAGCTCGCCGCTGCTCGCGGCAGTCGCCCCCAGCCCCCGGCGGAGGCCGACGTAGTCGGACTGCTGCGGGCGGAGATGGCTGCCTTCCAGCGACGTTTCGACGTGCTGGAGGGTAGGCTCTTGCGGCCCCCGCTCGCGACGAGTCAGGTCGCCCCCGCGGTCCCGCGGTCGTACGCGGCCGCTGCGGCCAAGCCTTCGACCTCGGGTCAGGCTAGCCGCAGCTCCCACCGCCGGCAAAGGCGCGACCGGCTGCCCCGGCGAGGGCCTCGGCGCCCCCGCCGGCGCAGACCCCGGCTGCGCCGACGGCGCCTGCGCCTGCGCCCGCTGGGCGCAAAAAGAGGAGGGGCACTCCGGCCCGGCAGGCTGGGGTTGCGGCGGCGGCGCGGCGGAACCCGCCCCGCAAGCAGAGGATGGCGGCGGATGGCAAATCGCCGGCGAGGCGAGGAGAGTCGCCAAGGAGGGCCGGAAGCGCCGAAAAAAGGCGCAGCGGCAACGACGGCAGCAGCAGCGCAGGGAGAAACGCGCTGCTGCCCTGCTCCTCG